AGAATATTATGGATTTTCATGGAAATTTCTACAACTGCTTACGAACCAAAACATGTTTGATAGGAATTTAAATGCTTACAAAGCTGAGCGTTGTTGGGTAGAGTTGAACTCTCTAGACTTTAATAAGAGAAGCATTACTACCTTTTGTTGTTTGTCTTTGTGTTTATACACTGATGAAAAAGTCCAAAGAAGAAAAATGTATGAAAAATCTTATTTCGATAAAAATGTTTGTTCTCCCTAAATAAGTTGCCATATGACATATCCATAAAACACTGCATGCAGTTATACACACTGACTCCCAGAAACAGCAGAAAAYACGAGACAAAAACAAAAACTGTTACAAAACATTTCTATATCAGCGTGGGAGTCTGTAGTTAGCTTGTTTGTAAGTCTGAATCACCGTGTTTTTCTATGAACATTAGCTCCAGTCTGACTTTTGAGCGCTTTAGTGGTACAAACACACTCAAGTCATGCACAGGATGAGGCACCCAACGAATTAGGTCCCCCRCTGAAAGATCCATTCAAACATGTGCGACAACACCTGCTGGTTTCTTGTTCTGCTCTCTCCTGCTCCTCGTCTCCCACTTTCTCTGTTTCTGCCCACCGCGACTTAGTTTTCTTCCTTTTTTGCTGTCCACTCTCGCTTTTATTGTGCCATTTTCTGCCACTTTGGTCCACGAAAGAGAGACCGTAATGCAATCTCTCCCCCTCTCCGTCCCCTGCTGTGAGGGAGAGTAGCTTGGCCTGTGTGCCGGACCGACGAGGGGGGGGGAAGAGATGGGGTCAAGGTGAGCTCTAATACACTATTGATCCGCCCCAATTGAAAACCTGATGGAAATTTTACCCCCCTCCCCTCTTTTCCTCCTCATCCTTTCCCTCGCCCCCCTGTTTTTCTCTCACCCTCCTCGTTTCATCTAACCCCCTCTCTCTCCCTTCCTATCTCCCACTTGCCTCTTCCCTTATGTCTTTTTTCCTTTCCTGTGTGATTCCTCCCTGGTGTCTGGAGTCTTCCTCTTTTTCAGTGTCTGTTCCCGTTCACTCCAATCTGTTTTCTCTCCCAGCTGAATGTCTCTTTCAACCACTGACTACTTTTTTCCCTTGCTATCTATCTCTACGTCGAGCCGCACTCTGCCTCCATGTCTTTTAAACTGCGCCTCTAATCATTTCCTTTCTTCTTTTCCCCTTCCTTTTGGTCTCGCCATCTCCCCGTTTTCCAAGTCTGTTCCTCTCCTCTTTTCCCCCTCGTTACCCCCACCCCCTCCCCACCGGTTCCATCCGAGTGTGCATCAGATGGTCCATTTCKCTCTAACCCAGTGCATATTGATCCCTATGGCAGTAGCATGCAGGGCGAGAGCTGCGAGGACCTCTGCTACAGTGTATTAAACGCCACAAACGCTTTGGTCGTGGGGCCTGAGACACGCCTCCCCCGGCAGGGCCCTGTCAATAGCTGCTCCCTCCTGTCAACAGCAGCCAAATGGCCTCTCAATCTGAGGCTCGTGATGAGTCACACGAGCGGTGCACAATAGACGTGCCATGAAAAACATAGGGAAGAATCTTTAACACAGTGAAGGCAGCATGCAATATAGAAAGATTCTGATGTAAAAGCATTTCAGTGAGAGCAAAACTGTTTAAACAATAAGCATTCGGCTTTGATGCGAGTCAATCAAAATCACATAAAGCCACTTCCATCTAGAAGTCGAAACCGTCGCCAACAAAATCCATGACCCCGGCTATCAATTTGCTCCATTCTTTGCCCTAACAAGCTTTGTAATAACATGCTGTTGTACTGTGGTTATGCGGAGCRGCAATTATGCTCGGGGCTGAGGGTGCTGCACTATTCAAGCAACATCAAACAAAAGAGGCGCAAACACGAGGAAAAAAAGGCGCGACAATAGAGATGGCAGCAACACAAGCGAACCTTTTTGCAGCCACCCATTACTATCCCACTTAACAAGACACAGCACAGT